TCTCCAAGCCTAAAAAAATGCATCTTTTAAAGGGACCACGCACTCTTCTCCCCCACCCCCCCATCATTTTACAAACAAATTCTAACGTCCTGCCTTCCAATCCACAAGTACTATACCAACACCTCCCCCACTAAGAAAGTGAACCATCATTGTGAAAAGACAGCTTCACTTTTTTTCTAAATCTTAATGCCATTATTACTAGAAACATAAGTCGTTAGAGTTACACATTTAATGCTAATTCTACATATATAAAACATTGAACACTACTGTATCTATCTTACATATACATTTCCTTTTAAACCCACACTAGCATATTCACAACATGCAACATATACAATCTGTAAATTAAATGCTTGTAACATAAGACTCCATTCAATCATGGCTGATAAGTTCCTCAATCCCATTCCCCCCGTAATCCTTGATCCCCTTGACAATCAAGAACCTATCTATCTCGGTCTTAAATATACTCAATGGCCTGGCCTCCACAGCCTTCTGTGGCAATTAATTCCATAGATTCACTACTCTCTCGCTGAAGAAGTTTCTCCTTAGCTGTTATAAAAGGCCTTCCCTTTACTCCAAGGCTGTGCCCTCGGGTCCTAGTCTCTCTTACCAATGGAAGCATCTTCCCAACATCCACTCTGTCCAGACCATTCAGTATTCAGTTCTTTAAGTATTCTTGTCTTTAAATCTTTCCAAAAATGTCAGCAGGTTGTGATTAGTGTACACAACCATCTCCGATATATTGTTTACAACATAAACATTAAAACGTTGAGGTCAGTACCAATTTCAACAATTCCTTTTCAACAGTTGAACATTTCCTCTGGTGGATATGGAGTTTCTTTGAAAAACTTTCAATTTCACAATTACCCACCTGCAACACAGCTCCAACCCCTATATCACTTGCGTTGATGGCAACTTTAAAAGGGTTTCAATAAATTTGGCATGGCTAAAACTGCTGGGGTGGTTAACACTACTTTTAAATTCTCAAATGCCTCCTGGCATTGTTCTGTCCGCTCAAATTTCGTGTTCTTCTTCAACAAATCCATCAGTGGTGCCACCATATTACTACTTCGATACAAACATCCGATAGAATCCGCTCAGTCCGTAAAACTGTAACACTTCGTTCTTCAAGGACGGTCTTGGATATTCCTCTATGGCTTTCTCCTTCAAGTTCCTCAGTGTCATCCTTCCATATCTGATGTTGGGTCCTAAGAACGTCACTTCCGCCTTTGCAAATTCTGCCTTTGTTAAATTTATGACCTCCATAACCTTCTTTGCCTTGACATTCCATAATGGAATTGCCTTCGGAAATCTGGCAGACGACATCAATTATGGTTAGCGAATACTGGTTCCCATTTTTGGTTTTACGGAGGGGACCTACACAATCATAACCCATGTGAAAGGTTCTTCAAATGCAGGAATTGCCAAAGGCGCTGGTTTTATTACTGCCAGTAGCCGTCTTACCATGGGACACTTATGACAGGTGCGGCAAAATTCAACCACATCTTAAGTAATCCTGGCCAATAGAAATGCTTCTGTCTCTTAGCACGAGACCTCCTCACTCCTGGATGATGACCTACAGGTAATTCATGTGCTACCAGCATTACTTCCCCTCTGTATGCTGCCAGCAACACAATCTGTTGAGCTTCTGCCCGTTTCTCCTCTGCACTAACCTACCAAGGTCTCCATTTCCACCTTAGGATTCTATCCTTAAAGTAATAACATTCTGCAATATATTCTGATTCCTTTTCAGAGTAGGCTTTATGGTATAAATCTTTTTATTGCTTCATCTTTTTGTTGCAACTCCATTAGTCTTTCAGAACAAAATACCTCTGCCCAATCCTCTACCTGCTTTGGTTTCTCATTTACCATTTCATCAGAGTTTCAGCTAACTCGACCTCAACTCCTTCATCTTTCATTTTCCCTTCTTGCTTTAACTTATGACTGTGATATCTTGTCACCAGAGAGTCTGGAAAAATTCCAAGTTATTTTTCTTTTAACTCATCAGTTCCCTGGTTTTCTTTTGGCTTCTCTATTACAATGGGCATCACTTCCACCTTTGATCCAGCTAGGGCATTTCTAAGAACAAACTATATTCCTGGAATAGCCACTCTTTCAATCACTCCCACTGTCACTTCCCCAGTCTCAATTGGACTTTCTAGCCTTATCTTAACAGGGGAACGCCAAATCTTTCTCCATTCATTCCACAGATTACTATTCTTGGGTAACATTTCAGAAGGGGTCCAAATATTTTCATCTCTTACTATTAGAGATTGATCAGCTCCTGTATCTGTCAATATTGTAACTTCTTTGCCTTCTCTCCCTGTTCTACCCAAGTAAACCTTACCCACAGAGGCGAAGTGTTTGAAGAGATCGGGCACTATCTTACTATCCAGCCCGTGACTAGGCCGTACACTCTCCCACAGCTCACCTTCTCTTGGGATTTCCTTTACTATCTCAACTAATCCCACTGGTTTAGCGTTTTTTACCACATCCTTTCCCCCAGTGCCTTTCTTAAACCACCAGCACTGTGCCTTTATGCATCGCCCTCTAGTACTGTCGAAACACCAGAGGCTTTTCACCCTCTTGGGTTTCTTTTTTCACGTGTGGTAAACTGTTCCTAGTGTGATCTACTTTTTGTATTTCATTGAAAGATCTCACTTTTTCCCCATTTCTATCCCTCACAGAACGAAATCGCTGTCAGAATCTAGATTTCGATTTATGCACTAATGTGTATTCATGCGCCATCTCTACAGCTCTTCTTGCTGTTTTAACTCATGTTGAGGAACAGAAAGTTATGATAATTTCTGGAATTGAGGTTTTGAACTCCTCCAGCAGAATAATCTAAGATCCTCATACATCTTTTCTATCGTCGATGCTCTCACCCATCTATCCAAGTTGCTATGTCTAATTCTTTCAAATTCGACATATGTCCGACCTGGTTCCTTTCTGAACTGTCGTCTACGTGCTTCTGGTGCCGATTTGTAGGCACTCAAAATAGCCTGTCTTCTTTCTTCATATTCTCCTGACACCGCTGCAAACACCTCACTAGCCCTGCCTACCAACTTGGTCTGAATTAACATTATCCACGGAGTTTCTGGCCAGTTCATCTGTTTAGCCAATTTCTCAAAAGGAAATGAAAAAGGTTTCTAAATCTTTTTCATCAAATTTTGGTATTTGTATATTTCCTTATATTTGTATATATCCTTATCAGGCTGTTGGCTACAATGAGTTTGCTCATGCTCACTTTATTTTGTACTTTTCCTTCCGCCATTTGAAGTATTTTTGCTTCAAGTTCCAACTTCATCTTCTCCAACTCTAACATTCTTCTCTTTTTCCCTTTCTTACTCCACTGCACTTGCCTATTTCTCTGGTATACCTAAATGCTCGACTAACTCCTTTACAACTTCAGCTTTCCTCTTATCCCTAGTTAAACCCAATTCTAGCCTATTTGCTAAGTCGAAAAGTGTCCCCTTCCGGTCTTTCTAAACTTTCTTGGCAAATTTGGGAAGCATCTTCCAACCCTAGAACCTCTTTAGCAATGTTAAGAGCCATTTCTCCTACTTTTGATTTAACCAACCACAAATAACTGAAACTAAACAGATTTTTCACTTCTCAGCTAAGCTTTATTTAAAGATCTAGGACACTAGTCCCCAAGTCCGTTTAAATCATCCAAATCCGTTCAGATCCCAGACGAAGCCTCAACTGTTACGAAGGAGCAGTCGACCCGCCTCCTCTGATAACTAAAACCGAAACACCCAGAAAAGCTTGCCTCGCCTCGTAATCTTTTAAAGGAGTGGTTAAATCACAGAAATCCCTAATACTCACTTCATAATCAACAAGTAAATATATCTAACTCTAACACAATTAACAAGTTAACAAAACTACTAACAAACTGAACAATTCCCCCTTAACTACTAACTATTCCCGAATAAAACAAAATTCTACCAGTATGCTGTTCCAATAGATACACATACCACTTAAATAAGACAAATTAATAATAAAAAAATTGAAGCTTAATCTCTCAAAATTACAGCCAGGATATGTCTTCCAAAACAATGCTTTCTCCGCTGTCCTCCAGTCAGGAATGCCTTCCTCCATCAAATATTAGCTAAGAGTGCCACAGTCCTTTATTTAGATGGTGCTTACTCTAAGATCTTAGAGATTTCTGGAAGAGCCAGTGATTTTCTCTTTCTTTAGAGAAGATGGCTATTGAGAGCTGTTCTCTTAACAGATGGCAGTTTGCTCTCACACGGATTTTCAAATGCCCTCTTTTTTTATATACCCTTGATGACCCATTAATTTCTTACAATGGGATTGGTCGGAGGTTGTCAAAACCATCAAATTTAAATTTAATTGGGCTTTGGTATCCAGGGCCTGGTTTAAGTTAATTGGCTAAATTCAAAAACCTGTCATCTTGGTAAAAATGTTGCTTTGCCTGTGAGCAGTACAGCCTTTTGATACAATGTTTCAATTTCAAGAACTCTCCGTGCATCTGCTGCTGCCTGCAGACATTTTTAATATCTCCAAAACACCTTTTAAAGGGATCACAGCACTTCCCCGCACCCTCCCCATCATTTTACAAACAAATTCTAATGTCCTGCCTTCTAGCCCACAAGTACTATACCAACTTCACAACAACAGCACCAAAGGAAGTTAGTCAACCCAGACATCTTAGTAGCTCTTTGAAAGAGCCATTCAACTAAATTCTTTCCCCCGTTCCTGTCCCATGGCCTTATAGTCCTTTTCCCCACACGTCAATAAATCTCATTTGATTGAATGTTACCACTAAAATCTGTTTCCACCATGGTCTCAGGCAGTGTCTTCCAGATTTAGACAACTTGCAGCATTAGAAAATGTCCACCGATTTTTCTCCAGGTTCTTTTACCAATGTTTAATACTGGCAAATTTATCTAAGTGCCCCTGTTCACAAAAAGTTTAATTAATTGCTGATTTTTTTCTTAAAGAATGATTGGCACTTGCACATATTAAATACCTACCCTTTGTCAAAATATGTTGCAAGACCTGAATTAGAAAACTTTGCATTGTTGACCATAGCAGAGGTACCATTACCATTCCCTGAACTGTAACTTTTTCGTGTTGCTTGGTCCTTTGCAAAATTTCTGCATGCTGCTAACTTTGATTCTAAGGCCTGAAAAAAAAAAAAGAAATATCACTGTCAGTTAGCAGGAAATAATAAACAAAGAAATTCCACACAACAGTATGAACTAAAAGGAACTCTTCCTAGACTATTCAAGGGGAAACTCATGAATTTTCCCTCACAACCCACCATAAAAATAGCACTGATTTGTTTTCAATGAGCAAACAATTTCAAAATAACCAAAACAAACAAGAAAACAATGCACAATGATGCTTATGTTTGAAGTCTAAAACCACCGACATGACAAAAATCAGACCTCGCTCTCAATTGTGGAAGGAGGAAACTTAAGATAGGAGAATGCCATTTAGTCTTTAGAGTCTGTTCTGCCATTCGGTGAGATCAAGACCTATCTATAACCTACCTTTGTCTTATGTCCCTGAATATATGTGGCTAACATAAATCTATCAACTTCGAAATTAAAATTAACAACTGACTCATTGCGTACAAGTGTTCCAAACTTTTATCAGACTTCCCTTTACTCAAGAGAGGCCTAGCTCTAAATTTTTGACTTTGATCTTGTAGCACGGCTAACCAGGACTTGTATACAGCTGCATGACCTCTTAGAATGCAAGAATAATCTGAAATATAGTAGCAACTATAATTACTTACTGGCTGTAAAGCAATTTGAGATGGTGACATTGGAGCCTTTTTAAACTGCTAGATACAAAATCCATAACTGCACGAACCTTTGTGAATATTTTTTGTACCAGTCCACCCATCCAATGTTTGGATCTCAGCAGTCTCTAGCTTTTCATTATTGAGAAAGAATCCTGATCTGTCCTGTTTAGACTGAAAGTGAATGTCTATATGCTGCAGTTTCATCAACTGAATTAATCTATTAGTATCTCTTTGCAATTTTATGCTTCTACACAAAAAAAGAGGGGGAAAAGCACGGACACACAGTCCTTCCTGGCCTACAAATAATAAGTGGTCTTAACCTCCCCATCTCCTAATGTGGATTCATGCTGCAGTTCAGATCCATGTGGTATAAAGTGACCTTTCATCATCAGCAAAGCCGAGCATAGTTTACCCTGAAGGTCATGAAAAAGAAATGCAGAGGTTGCTGTTGAACAGGGACTCTTGCAACTTTCTTTCTCCAATTCAGATTAACTGCAGTGTTTTCTTGCCCTATCAAAATGTACAGTATATATCCCTAAATATTAAAGATTTGGCATAATTCAAATGAAAAATGCCTTTTTAAATCTTCCAAATCAGTTTGCTTTACAGGCAACCAGACCATCTTGGGATTGTTACAGCACAGGAGGCAGCCACTTAGCCCATTCCGCCTGTGCCAGTTTTCCAAAGCAGCATCTCAGAGTCATTCTCCTGCCTTCTCCATGTAACCGTTCCCCTTTGAAAACAAACAACATAATAATTCCATTTTCAATGTGTCTGAACCTACCTCCACCATGCTTAGGCTGTGCATTCCAGACACTAACGGTTCCTCTCATATCACTTTTACTTCTTTTAATAATTTAAAAAGAACTTTAGGTCTACTCACTGTTGTACCACAGAAACAAGGCTGTAGCTAATTTGAGCACAGCAATATCATGAAAACAGCAATTAAATTAATGACCAAATAATCTCTTTTTACTAATATTGGCAATGTGTAAATACCGGTCATCCAGAAGTATAGTGTCTGGGAAGAGGACCAGTGACAGAGAGCCTGAGGTTATGATTGAGACATTACCAACACTTAGTATAGGGAATGTTGTGCAGCAACATTAGGCCAGTATCACAGATGGTAAGCATTCCGTTCAGTATTGGTTAAGGAGGAATGCTTCCTAGGATTGTTGCAGAACTATGTTCTTCCTTATACACGTATGGAATTTTAATGTTTCTGAACAGCTAGCTATACTAGTTAACAACTTATGCAAAAGGAAAAACATCAGTGAAGAACCACAACTGAAGAGAGTCCAAGAAGAATTTACAGAAATAAAGGTTGTAAATAAGTGATTAGATATAGTACTTACCCCTACTTTTCTTAAAAGATCACCAACAATATTTAGTGCAGATATTCTTGCTGATGGAGTTAATGGCATTGTACCATAGCCATTTGGTATAGCTGAAACAACAAGCCTTAGAATTTTTATACAAGTAAGTAATATGGGCACACAGATACACACACCTGCACAAACAGCTAAACTTAAATAGCTCCTGAAACAGCAATTGTTATGCGATTAACCAGTACTTGTTTCCTGCATTACAGTCAACATGCGAACTTTAGTGATTTTAAACAGCAGACAATTCAATCTTTCAAGCTTGTACTAAATTATGCTGTGGTTTGGCCCCATACTCTGCTGCACCAGTGACTGGCATTACAAATTTAGGCTGCATTTCTTACAGATAACCTGAATCTCTGCAATTCAAGGCACATTGTGTTTGGACCAGGTGCTTGCAGTCATATGGACACAGACTCTGACCTAGGAAGCACAGATACATGGCATCTCAATTGAGTCAAGTTTTTCGGACTTTGTCCTACCTTGGAGCAAATGCTGGAGTTTTGAGTTTCAAAATGGTACCATTGATATCAAAACAGTGCCATCTTCAATAACATGGCACCGTGTGGATTCCCCAAAAAGTGGGCATGTATGCCATGGACATGCATTTGGTCACCCTTAGGGCCCAATCCAAGTTTTGCATCGACTCATTCTAAATATGGGTGTTTCACCAAAATCAATTTTCAAAGGCAAGGCAATGAGAAAACAAAATCCACATGAAAATACTCAGATCTGATGTTACATTACTAGCGACAAAGTTCTTACAGGAGGTACCGGCAGATGGCTCGGACTCAAATTTGGGTACGACTCAAACCCAGTATCCAATCAGGCTGAAGTCTTTTTAAAAAGGATTGCTATATGCCCATTTCCTCCCTCTACCCTGATGTTAAAAACTAAAGAACTGTGTGAGTGCTCCATGTTTGAATATTGATATGAAAATACATGTACTGTAGAATTTAAGATCAGATAGACAAAAATTTGTACAGTGGCTGTAAAACTATCGGAACCGTGGCAGGCTTTCCTTCATTCATTCTCATTATTTAGAGTGCGGCCAGTGCTGGCAGGCATTTCAAACAGCTGATCAAATTCCCTCCTTCTTCCTCTTTAGTTTCAAAGTCAGAGCAAAACCAGATAAATTTCATGAATGGAGCAAAATAACCAACATTTGAGATGCACATAAGCTATGTCCATATGCATTTTGGAACTCCATACAGAATCTTTGTACACTGAGGACACCCCTCCCACCAATTGGGATAATCAGGCCTTAGTCTTACATCTCATATCCTCAATTTGGAAGACAGATAAAAAAACTGGCTTCCTATGAACTCTTGTTGCTATCCAAATTGTTCCATGTTGCACTTTTGAACCAAGAACAATAATACAGAGTGCTGACTAAAGTAATGAGGAGGCCTGGAGTTTCTACTTAGTTGTATTGTTTACTCCATGCAATATTAATTTTAAAAAAATTACAGCCCTTTATGTTGGCCATTTGTGCCAACTCAGGAGATTGTGTAACAGTGGTATATGAATGAGTATGAGCAGAAACTGGAGGTGAAAAAGAAAACATCTCAAAGCAAACAATTTTGAGCATAAATTCCACCCAAAATGCAAAGTCTACTGAGAATGCGTTACTTAAAACAAGCACTGAACACACCTTAGTATAAATGACATCCTGTGATCAAACCCAGTTTTACCAAAACCATATTTGGGTCTTGGGCCCTGTATGAATTAAGTAACACTGATCAATGAATAACTCAAGTAAATGCTCACCCGACTACTCTTAGTTTTTCTGATTACTAAACTGAGTACACATTTTAGATTCACAAGATTTTACACCACAGATTTGCACTGAATGTGTTGATACATGTACACAAAGCACTAGACTTGCACTTGAACACTGCCAATATCAAAAGTAGATCAGTTTATAGTTCGACATTGAAACATACTTGAGCATTACTGCTGTACATACTCAACTTTATATCAACATTTAGTTCAATCCCTATCACTGTCAAACAAATTAAAATGTGCTTGGTCAAGTGATTTGAGATGCACGAGCAGAATTCCAGGTTCTTAAAGAAGTTGAGTGGCACAGAACATGGGTGGACATGTACACACAGGATCCTTTCTGCATTTATATACTTATATATCCCTAATGTCAACCTCAAGATTGAAATGAAATTACAATCGCATTTAGTTTGTGGAACACTACCAAATTATTTAACATATCTCATTAATGCACACATTATTATAATTGGTCTCCGATAGCTGACTGAAACAGGAGGGGTTTTCCCAAATTTGATTGATTCAAGTTGGTAGCCATCTTAACTCCTAAACAAAAATAGAAGTTGCTAGAGAAAGTCAGCAGGCTTAGTGACATCTGTGGAAAGAATTCTTATGTCAGCTTACTACAAACATAATAAGCAGCCCATACTTATAAATGTACATACACAAACTCAGAATCAATATTTTGGTGATGCTTGAAAAACTTACAGCACATACCTTTGGGTGAAGCAAATCCATTGCCAGCAGTTCTTCCTACAGGAGTGGCTGGTAGAGAAAGGGATGCTTGAACAGCTGTATCCATCTTCTCACACTCCAGAGTTGGTGAACTAGGGGCAGATTTTCTTGTTACTTCCTGCCTTTCCCTTACTGCTAATTCTTGACGCAGATCTGCAAAAATATTCACAGGACTGGAGTTGAACAAAAATTGTGCTAAGGAATAAAAGTCTCAAACTTAACTTAGTATCACAATTTTAGTAGCTAGATGTTACCATAAAGGTTACAACAACTCAATAACAAACTCATGTGTCCTACAGTCAATGAAATCTCCAAATGGCCCAACTGGAATAGGACCTCATGTCACAAGTAGCTGTACCGATATGTACTCCCTTATAAGTGCAACAAATATTGGTTATTCAAGAATCTTAATGTAGGATGTGGTGTCTTGTATACACTATCGCTAAGATTGGTAACGCAGAATGGTCTGGAGAAAATCACGTGTTTCGAGCTCGATCCCACTAACCCATCTTTTCTGGCATTCTCAAAAATAGGTGAGTCGGTTCAGTGTATTGGTGTTTAGCAATCCCAGGGCATAACAGAACCAGGACATGCCTGTTACATTAACTTTCTCATAAGTCATTGCTTCCTAGAGTGATAAATTTGGTTTTAATAGGAGTACCCATTATTGTGCAGGCAAGCAACAATTAGAAATATCAAGCACGGGGAGGCCAGTAGTCAGAAAGCAGGCAGCTAGAAACAAATACATTTCTTTTTATACCGTACCTCATCACATTCCTGCTGGCAGTACTAATGCAGAATTATTCCTAAATACAAATATATTGGATTAAAAAATCACTAATTCAGCATACTGATTTTTTTCCCTTTTGAATAAATTAGTGAAGGAACTTGCATTTATACACAGCTTTTCATGGAGACATTCCAAAAGCATTTCACAATGGGATATTGTTGTGATGTAGGAATTATGTGCCAAAAAAATTTACTTTTGCAACGTAGAATGATAAAGTAGAAAATTCAAATTTACATACGGAGTCCAAGTAGTGTTGGGACTAATGTTATTCATAAATTATGTCAGTATAACAGTTTAACAGTGTCCATTTTAATTCAATACTATTTGCCAGTCTTCCTGTTGTGTCTTGCCAACCATGACCCTCCTTCTGACACTTCGACTGTCAGCCTCAGTTCCCTTTCCCAAATTACAGCCTGTGATATTCTCAGCCTCCTTTCCCACCCTAGCTCCTGGCTGCAACTTAACACCCTCTCCCACAAAGCCTTGCCTCCTGCCCTTGCTCCCTAGCCCCATGTCCCCAGGGCTTGGCTCACTTTAACTTTGCAGGTGCTTCCATCCCTTGCTCCCTGGTCTCTTCTCATCTGTTCTTACTTTAGGTCCTGGCTTTAGCCATTCCTGAACTCAAGTCCTCATCTCGATCCAGCGACAGAATGTAAGTCAGTGCAATGGCTCCAGCTGGATTGACAAATTCCACCACTAGATGGGGATGGGCAATTCTGAAAATATTGCAAGGTCTGTGCATTTTTAAAAATATGTACATAAGCGGTATTTAAGTTCATGATGCATCTTATTTTGCAAGTTGTGTCAGCTAGGAATGCACCTTTGGTACAGTATTTCAACTTGCATATTGTTTCTTTCTGGACAAGAACTATCCCAAGGAACCCAACTCCAAACTTCTAATGCCGATTCCTATGGGAACCCCCAACTCACAAAGTCAGGATTTTCAGGAACGCTGCTGTATATTACATGAAGATATACTGTATTGCACTTAGCTGGGAGGTTAAGGAAGTTCCCTCACCACGAGTTTATCAATTCCACCTTTAGAAACTTTGTCTGCATCTAATTGATCCTGCTGAAACATTGCACTTAAAAATAAAATGAACACACCTCGGGCTTCATCTTTCAACCTTTGAACAGAAACAAGAAGGGACTCCTTCTCATCAAGTTCACTTTCTAAAAATGCATTTCTTTCAATTGCTTGATTCAGCCGTTGTTCAAAGTCTTCTAATGACACTATGGTAGCTCTAAAAATTAAACAGACTTATGAATATTTCTGGGACTAACATTGGACAAGGCTGTGAAACAATAAAACTACATTTCTTTAAAAAAAGTATCTCACTGCTCAACATTAGCAATTAGTAATAAAAGTACGACTTAGCGAAAAAAACAATTTGTGTATAGTTCATAATTAAAAAACTTTCGACATTAAACAAATATAAAATCATGAACTCAACAACTCTGAACAATTATTTTAATCAATGTTGTTCCACTATAAAAGTGATCAAACTGTAGCTGATGCTAATTTTCAATTGATTTTAAACAAAAAGTTTAATTAAATACTTGGATTTATTTGGCACCTTTAAATGTAGGAAACTACACCAAGGCACTTCACAGGACTATAAATGGACAAAACTTGAGGCCACATCAATAGAAAAACACAAGGAAAGGTGTTAAAAGCTTAGTTAAGTAGTGACTTTTTAAAAGAGCTGACAGAGATAAAGAAATTGAGGTACCTGCGGACAGAATTTGAATCTAGGGTACAGGTAGACAAGATACGATATAGATAATGTGAAGAGTGTGTGTAGGAGAATGTTTAAGGTCAGAATTAAAGAGTGTACAATTTTTGAGGGCTGTAACACTAAATCACTTTACAGACAGAGGGGGTCATGGAGAAATCTGAATACACACATGAGAACTTTAAAAACAAGACATTGGTGAACTGGAGTACCAATGTAGGTCAATGGACAGAGAAATGTCAGTTTCACTTGGTGTGGATTAGGATACTGACAGTAGAGCTTTAGATGAGTTCAAGTTTATGAAGAGTGTAAGATGAGAGACGGGTTAAGAAAGCGTTGGAACAGTTGAGTCTTACATGCGATTTGAATAATGAAGAGAAGTCCAATTAAGTCCAACATGCAGCAACTGCTGGTTCAACATCTTTGCATATTACAAAATGAAAGATAATGTTTTGTATCATTTCTAGGACATAATACAACAATGTGTCTCTAATTCTCTAAAAGGTTCCCTGGTGCAGATCCAGAATCACAGACTCAAGTGTAAATACAGAACTTCCATAATCAAGTGATCAACTAAATAAATAAAATTTACCTTTTACAAATAAAATTAATATGAAACTAAATTCTTACCTTTTGGCTCGTTCTAAATCATCATTTGCCTGCTCCAATTCTCTTACGTATTTATGCAATTGATCTTTGATACCTCTTGTTTGACCCAAGTCATCTTCTAGCATAGATATCTGTTTATAACTCTGTGCATATTGTTGTTCAAGTTTCTCCTGAAAGTAGACAGCAAAAACAAAAGAAAATTCCAAGATTTGATTTGTAATTTAAAGCTTTTAAAATCTGGACCACATTTCATGAGCTTATGCAATGCAATTTCCATGGGAATATCACTTTCTCTCTCCTTCGTGCAAAATAATTCAAATTAGGTCCAATAAAATTAATGCAACAGTTCACTAAATTACAATAATTTCAATCAAATAACCAACAAGCTTTCAAGCCTAACCTAACCAAATGATTACAATTCCAGAAATAACGATCAATTCCTGGAACTAAGTCCAAAATTATCCATCTTGATCAGCATTCTAAATACAAACTCAAACGATTCAATTATTTTAATGCAATGATTTGCCATTTTTGACCCACTACCGTATGTTACTATTTACTGAACAGAAGATTGGTGGTAAAATGGGTTGCAGCATAGGGGTTTTTCACTTCTGGGATGGGAATGCATATCCAGCCTTCTGGAAGGTAAACGCACCTGTTCTCATTCCTAGATGCAAAAATTCAAAATTAAAATAAGGTCGAGACCAAAAACTCAAATTGCTACATATTGACAGGATCCAATAGCCAGCACATCAGCAGTCTCAAGATGTGCTGTATGGATGGTTGGCAGAAATCCTTTTCAAATGAAGTAGGAGAAAACACCACATTCTCTATTAAAATGTGTCCTTCATCTATGACAGTAAAATTCAATGGAAATGAGACACAATAGTGATAAAAAAAGAGACCATCAATTTTCCAACTCCATCGTCTGATTTTAATACCTGGGCTTTCATGGGCTGAAATGTTCTCTGTTTTAAAAAAAAACACACCGTTTACTTACCATTTATTAAATAAATTATTTCAGTTGAGGGTGGTTCTTATCATTTTCATCAAATGAGACCAAAATCAGTAAACCGGTACTTTCATTTTGATTGAGGGATAGCAAGAACTTCAGATGCTGGAGTCAGAGATATCACAGCGTGGAGCTGGAGGAACACAGCAGGTCAGGTAGCATCAGAGGAGCAGGATAGTTGACGTTTTGGGTTAAGACCCTTCTTCAAAAATGAAGGGGGTAAGGGGGAAACTGGGAAATAAAGAGAGAGGGGCGATGGGGCTGGGGAAGGTAGGTGGGTTGGTGATAGGAGAGTGTAGGTAGGGAGTGGTGGGGATTGGTCAGTGGGACAGATAGGTGGGAGAGACGGACAGGTTGCGTCAGGTCAAAGAGGCGGGGCTAAGAGGGAGGGTTGGATATGGGACGAGGCCAGGGTTGGGGAGATTTTAAAACTGGTGAATTCCACGTTTAGGATGGGCCGTAGGATCCCGAGACAGAATGAGTTGTTGCCCCTACAGTTTGCAGGTGGTGTCATTGTGACACTGGACGAGGCCCAGGATGGACATGTTACCCAGGGAGTGAGAGTGGGAGTTAAAATGGTTCGTGACCGGAAGGAAGGCGTTGTCATTTGTTGTGTACATAGCGCAGATTCTCTACAAAATGGTCTCACTCTACACTTGGTCTCACTGATGTAGAGGAGGCCACATCAGGAGCAGCAGATACAGTAGATCAAGTTGGCAGACGTACAGGTGAACCCCTGTCTAATATGAAAGGTTTGCTTTGGGCCTTTTGATTTATGCTTTTGAAAAAGTTAATTTGCTGCAGGTAAAGAGACCTGTGACTATCAGTTTCAAAGCAAGCACTCCAGGTATCAAAATACACAAACCACGTGTATTTCAGGGAGCCACTTTTAAATAGAGCAGAGGAGATGAATTTTAAGTGAAATCAAGAAAGTTCACTGTGCTGAGTTTTAGGAAGGACAAAGCCCAATGACAAAGCAAACTGAAGAAACATCTGAACGCTGAGGGCTCAAAGATATTTGCAATATTCACAGGTGCCATTGATCCAGGACATCCCTAACAAGCCACAGTCTCAGGAGAAAACGAGTAACTGTTTTCACTGACGAAGTGACAAGTAATTTTCCAGAAAGAGATCTAAGGGACTAGGGACAAATGAGGAACCAAAGAAAATTTGTATTAGTACTAAGGCAGGACTTATACAGTTAATGGTAGGGCCCTGGGGATTGCTGCCAAACAAAAAGAGACCTAAAAAGGTGCATGTGCATAGTTCCTTGAAAGCGGCATCGCAGTTAGATAGAGCATTTGGCACACTTGCCTTCATTTGCCAGTGCTTTGAATATAGGAGTTGGGTTGTCATGTGGCAGCTGAACAAGACATTGGGGAGGCCAATTTTAGAAAAGTGTGTACAATTCTGGTTTCCCTGCTAGAAGAAAGATGTTGTTAAACTTGAAAGGGTACAGAAAAGATTTAAAGAGGTTGCTGTGATTGGAGGGTTTGAACTATAGAGAAGAGGCTAAATAGGTTGGAATTTTTTTCTACCCCCCTGAAGTGTTGGGGGCTGAGAGGTGACCTTAGAGGTTTATAAAATCATGAGGGGCATGGAAATGGTGAACAGCCAAGGTCTTTTTCTCAGGATAGGAGAGTCCAAAACTAGAGGGCACAGGTTTAAGGTGAGGGGGGAAAGATCCAAAACAGACCTGAGGGGCAACTTCTTCATGCAGAGGGTGGTGGCGCAGGCAGATACAATTACAACATTTAAAAGGCATCTGGATGGGTAGGTGAGTAGGAAGGATTGAGGGATATGGCCAAATGGGAAAGGTCAGTTGAGGATATCTGGTCGGTGCAGACAAGTCAGACTGAAGGGAACATGCTAAAATATATTTTAAGTTTCTATGAATGGACAGTTGTATATTAACGAACTGATTGGAAAATGGTTTAACAAACCTGTTGGAGTTTGAGGTTGTTACTAATAAAATTGATAATGGGGAAGCTCGGTGGATACAGTATACTTTGTTCGCAGAAGTCTGTTGGTCAAGTTCCTCACAGAAGCTTGGTTAACAAAATTAAAACACATGGACAGGAGGTAATGTAGTGTAATGGATTAAGGATGAGCTAACAGACAGGATGCTGGAAAAATAAAATGGGTCATTTTCTCATTGGCAAGCAATGATTAGTGCAGTATTACAAGAATCAGACCTTGGGCCCAGCAGTTTACAATGTGTTTGGTTGGAAGGTGCACATGTACAAAAGGGAGCTAGGTTCTTATCAATAAGTCCCTGAAAGATGACATGCAGGTGCAGCAGGAAATTAGAAAAACTAACAGTAGGTTAAGCCTTTCTCAAGAGTACAGGAGCAGCACAGTCTTGCTTCTATCGTATGGGAGCTTGGTTAGCACCTGGGAGTACTGCATGCGGTTGTGGTTCCCTTACTTTAGGATGGCTATTATTGCTGTTGAAAAAGTGCAACAGAGGTTCACCAGACATTTGGCATGGCAGCTTTAACTTATGATGAGACTGAGCAAATGGGGCCTGTATTCTCTGAAACTCTAGAGAATGAGGGGTAACCTCATTAAAACCTACAAAATACTTCAGAGGTAGACAGGGTAGATACAGGTGAGATGTTTCCACTGGTTGGAGAATTTAAATCAGAGACAATCTCAAATTAAGGGAAGCCACTTAGGACTGACGGAAGAACTTTTCTACTCGCGAGTTGAGAATCTCAAATCTTTGCAGCAACTTTGCCATTGACTATGTTCAAGACAGAACATATTTCTTAATACAATACCGTAACAAATATGAAGAATAGTGTGAGAAGAAAGACACAGAAGTGGGTGAACAGCCATTACTGTACTAAATTATATTCATGGAGGCTAAACACCCAACTGCTTTCGCCACATTCCTAATTCAAGGACAAGCCAAGGACACATTCTTTTACCTTCCTTTTTACAATGGAGACTATCCCCTAACTTTGTGCCCCTGTGTCAGTGCCTGCTTGATGTTGCATCTTCATTATTTTTCTTGTTGTTAATGATAGTTTAATTGATTTTCCTTTCACTTGAGGAACCTTTGTAATTGGCTGCTTTATTCAGTTAGTGTTGGAGCCTTCAGTGACCATTGCAATTAAAGGATTCCTCCATTTATCTGCAAACATCCAACATTCTGAAGTTGTAGTCAGTTTCAGAGGAATAATTATGGTTGACGTGACAATTCACTATCAACACTGTCCCCTTTGACTCTGGAAAATCCACTGCAAAATGAGATTCCTCCTCAATAAGGAACTGCTCAATACTTTGGTCATACATATATTTTCACATTACATTTCAAAAGCCTGAAATGTGGTTTCAGGCAGTTAACAGAAAAGAACTGTTGTAGAACACGCTTCTTTGGTCTAGTGTTTTCCACTCAAGTAGGACACATGAAGTTGCTTTACGAGCATTCAGAAGTATGCACCTACCTGAGCAACTTTGACATGAAAGCCTTCATGCTTGGAGGATGCATTCCAAACTATATGCACGTTAGTACAATAAATCTACATTCAGCTAGCTACAACTGAAAATATTTTAACTGTGCTCAACGTCTAAAAAAAAAAAAATCATTGAGTACAGTGCTGGCTGTGTTTGTATCCAAGACTTCACAGGAAAGCTCCCTAGACTATTCATGTCAATTTGTTCAACTTGGGTAACTGGCTGTTAACCCTTGTTTCCAGCTGGCAAGCAATTTAAAAACAGTGCTGGAAATCCAGGACAAGGTTATCCAGCAGCGTGGGAAAGGGTAGCACAAAGGTGTAGCATGAGAGAAAAGTCTTTGGATGATCAGCGAAAACAAACAGTTTGTCTACAGTATGGGGAAGATGATAGCACAGTGGTAATATCACCAGACTAGTAATCCAGAGGCCCTGGCTAATGCTCTGAGCTCAGGGGTTCAAATTCCACCGGCTGTCATTGCTTATCTGTCATTTCTTTTATCACCTCCAACATAGGGTGAAATGTCACAAGTATGGTTTGCAGTAGGTTCTGCTGATAGTAATCCAATAATACCACAGAGTCACAGTAGTGTTACAGTGCAGAAGGAAGCCAGGCAGCCCATCGTGACTTCGTCCACTCCCTTAATCAGCATGGTGACTTAGTGCCATACCCTTGTACATTGTTTCTATTTAAATAATAACCTTTTGCCCTCATACATGGTTAATTGAATCTGCCTCCATCACACTTCCAGGCAGTGCATTCCAGATCCAAAATCACATGCTGAACCAGAACTGCACAATGGGTGATACTGAGCATGGAGTGGGAAGTGATATGCAATAAGGAGTGCGATTAAGCAGCATAAGTGTGCAAGAACCATAGAGAAAGCAGAACTCAAAAATAGTACCACCATTCACCACCACAGCTTTCGGTAAACCTTGATAGAACCAGAGGAAGAGGTCAATCGGAAGTCTACTAATAATGAGAGGAAATCCCTCAAAATAAGCCTTCTGGTGAAGAGTGAACCAGTGCAACTGCTGATGTCAAAATAATAGAAAACAATAGATGGAAAGATAAAAAAAAAGCTAAATAACTCTGTGCATCATTTACTTGAACAAAACGTACTAAGTGCCATGTTTTGAGTAATAGTGATTGCAGGCTGTTGGTTCTTATGGCATTAATGATGCTCCAGTACTCTCATGTAAACTTGAAAGCTATTTATTGACATTTTAGGATTCTGTATTCTGTATGGAATGCACAATTAATACAACCAAGTTTTATAAATCTGTATAAAACAATTAAAAAAAGTGTAAAGACTAGCCAGTACAAAACTGATGAAAAAAAAAAATCAGCTTTACAGTAATCTTACCTTTAATAACTCCAAATCCAGTTTTAGTCTTTGGTTGTCAGATACTAAATCTCTGTTTCTGTGCTCTGCCTGCTCCAACTGTGCTTCCAACTCAGCCTCAAGCTCCCTGCTTCCCTCCTGGAATTCTTCTAGTTCTTCACGTGTTTCCAGAAAACTGAACAAGATGTTGACAGAGGTCAAAGATTTATTGTTAAAAATGAACAGGCTAAAAATAACATTGAATGCAGTGGAAAGATTGCACAAAAGTTGCAGACTAGACAAATACATTTCTGATGGCACCTAGATAAACCCACACTCTGCTGCTGATCAAGTCATAATGCTGTCATTTTAGGCGTAATTTCCAGACTCTGTGCAAGTCACACCAGCAAGGATAAAAGTTGAGCTGACCTTGTGCAGGATGCACTGCAGCAATTTGACGAGGTTTCTTCAAACCAACATCTGCCACCTAGTCAGACAAGGGTAGCAGCCATATGAGAGGACCAATACCTACAAGATTAAAGCCAATTCACATGCCATCCTGACCTGGAACTATACTGTTTCTTCACTATACATGGGTTGTAATCCTGAAGTGCTCTCCCTGAGAGAAGAGTATGTATGTGTGTACACCAGAGATACAGCAATTTAATGTTGCAGATCACCATTATCTCAAGGGCAATCGACAGCAACTCCCAAATACTTTTCAATTTTTGTTCTAAAAACTCCTTTCAGGTATGCAGTGGAAGAGAAACAAGAAGGAATTACGATTTTTAATGCTACGAAGTACAAATTCACGCAAGTGTTGTTTTGCAGCAAATTCTACTCAGTTTAATGAAGTTGTTTACACTTTGCATCCGAGCTCTGCCAGGAGAAAGAGGGATTCATTTAAACAGGGCTCACGAAACCACTGGCTCAAGGGAATCAACTCAGTCAGGGCAATGTTTTCACATGAACCTTCTGCACATTTCAGTCACCTACATTAGTTTATAGAGTAATCATGTCCTTCTAGATTGAGATGGATACAATGTCAACTGCTTTGTTGTGTGAAATAATGAATTTTATTTTCTCTCCCTGATGTTTTACTCACTCAACTGGTGAGATCAACGACTGAATCGTATTTTTTTTTTGGTCTAAGTTTGACTTCAGTTGAGTGTTTATCACTGCAAGGTCCAGCGGGTTTTCTCACTCAGTCATATCAAACTGATTTCATTACTTAGGACGGCCCTACAGCATTTCACACAACCAACTTGCACAGCTCCCACAACAGTTTGCCAATCAGCAAAAATCTCCGAATTCGCCAGCATTCTTTGCACTGACGCCATCTTTAAAAGCCCATGGTGCAAACAGACAAGCACTGTCAGTCCAGAGATGTCCTGCAGTTTCTAACATTAGCCCCAGACAAGGCTCACAGCAGGAATTTAAAAAAAAAAAGTGTTCCACTTGGAGGGCAGGGTGCTGGAAATCCTGTTGGACAGGGTAGTTCCTACATCAGGACCAGCAGTGGAGGCCACAACACTAGTCCATGCCAGCCTTTTCCAAGGTTATCAACCCAGTTAAAGCAGTCGTATCCATCTGGAGGAATGCCCATTGTCCAGAGGAGGTCAATGTCAATACCAATACCACAATCTTCTAATACTTCATTATCTCTACTGCTGCACCCAACTCTCACCATGACTCATGCTCTACTACTCTCACTAATGCCTGCACCGTCTTTCCCACCCACCCAAAACCCCTCATCATTAACTCTGAATCCACTCACTCCCCACCTGCACCACCGATTTTCATTTCCCATAATACCTGCCTCCCTCACATTCCAGAAGGAAAACAGTCCGGAATAGGACAGAAAGCATCAAGACAGGTGGTATGCTGCCTGTTATTCAGCTCCTCACCCCTTATAAAAAGAAAGGATTCAGACTGTGACCACCCCCCGAACAGCCTAGACTGGTATCAAAGGCTGCCCTTGATTTACTGGGCCAGTTGCCCCTAAGCAAAGAGCATCCCACTTGACTTGATAAAAACCTGCTGACAACTACAGCAAGTTTTCTGGCGTTGTGTCTGCGCCAAGCAGTAAGGCAAGATAGCAGTATCACGAGCCTGGTATTTCTGACTGAGAGGGCAAAGCACAAAAGGTAAGACAACATAATGAGAGGCATGAATGCTGTGAACATCTAGGTAGGCACTGAATGAGTGAGCTAACTGAAGATCTGGAGACAGCCTGGTCTAGTCCATGGGCTGTGCATGTGTCCAATTCACAGTATCCTTGCAGCAGCCCGTGATAACGTAATTTCTTACTTTTATGCTGTAAGTGAAATGGAGAGGATTCCTAGATGGTGACACCATTGGATGCCAGTGACTATGTATGTAACATGCATGTGGTCGTTACCCAGTTTCCAACATGGAAGTTGTTCAGAGCAGGCAGTTAGCCGAATCCACCAGGTACCCGCTCTGGCTTCCATGTCAAGCTTTTTCCTGACATCTTGTTTGTTTTGAGAGCATGGTTAAATGGGAATCTGAACATTGATGAGGTGAGTTTAACAATCAATAACAATCAAAAGACATCTTGATGCTGCCTAGTGAGAATCTTGCCACATCACTTGAGAAAAAGATGGAGCGAGATGATCTCATCCTCGAGATGAGCCTTGCCACACTTGTCAACTGACTTTGTCCCACATCTTGCTCATGTTGTTCAGACCCCTAAAAAAGGTTACAACCAAAATGTTCACTGAAAGTACAGGAATGTGGCATACAAGCCAAGAGGTTCTCCAATTTAGTCAATAGTCCAGGAATTAGGCATTCTCAGCTGAAATACAGATACTGAAACAATTTTAGCATCTCCAAATTTGAGATGGAATGAAGAGACAGAATTCCCATTTCACAATGCTATGCGTTGATTTGTGCTAGAAAAAATGTACATGCTTGAGTTGTCAGGTAATGAGAAGCTAACAATCATTCACAAGTCAGTTTCACACAACTCATTTCCATTGTGTTTTTGAAGATAGACAAGCTGAAACTTCACAGATGTATATAGAAAAAAAAAATTATATTTGAGAACACCATCCATTTGAGTGTGTTAATCAGGACAATTTGAGACAAAACAGCAATACAGATTACACCATCAAAACTCCAACTGGCTAGTTACAACACAGAACAAAATACTATAGTTCATTGACGAAAGTAGGTAGGGGCGTACAAATAGAACAGCACGAATTAGGCTAGATAACAGCATACAAATATTAAACATCAGTCCCATTTTGTACTAATGTACACTGTACAGCATAAAAATTTTGCTAATACTTTAAAATGATGGGACAGAAAGCCACATTTCTATATTTGCTGATTGCAGAGATATAAGCAATGTAGATAGTGGCATAAAATTCAAAAGATGTTCGGAGGTAAACGGAAATGTTGTGACAAATGGATTTCAACATAGGCTTGAAATTTGATGACTTCAAATTCTACTGAAAAGTGTAAAACTGAAGTTTGCAGCTTTTCACCATTTAGAAAGACAGAAGGTTCAGAGGCCTGGTGGTAGAGGTGCACAAATGACTAAAATGTCATGGTAAGGTACAAGAAATGACATGGAAATCTTAGTTATACAAAGCCCCAGTCTGAAAACATTGCATATAATGTGAACTGATCTAGGCAAGTTTGGTGATGCTCAATAATGTCCCTGTAAAATCAGAGGTAATCCGTTGAAGTTGCCTTTTCTACTTGGCCTTTTGCAATATGATGGAAAGATTGATAGAAAGTCTGCAAGATCTGGGGAGTCTGAAACTAGAAGTCATAAAGAAATTATAACTAGATCTTTCTGGAGCAAAATTAGGAAATGTTTCTTCACACGAAGTGATCAAGGTTTGGAACGATCATCCTCAAACAGCAACTTAGGCTAAATAAATTGTTTATTTTAAAATAAAGTTGGTAGATCTTGGTTAGTGAACATAGAGGGACATGGGACAATGGCAAGTACGTTTCGTAACGTCAGCCTGCACTAAATGGTGGATCAGGCTCAAACAGTTAAATGGCTTACTCCTGTTCTTTTGTTTCTACATTCTTAAAATTACTGTAGTTACAAATCATTGAACCAAAGAGAATTTTCTGATCTTCTTGCTAGTTTATCTCACACCCCTGAGCTGCAACTTAATTTACACTGGCACCGGCTCAGTACCTATGATCCTGAAAGCCAACAAGGACCCTTAATTACATTACTTCATCCTACCCCAGTGTAAACATAGCAGGTGTCAGTGTAGTTTGACAGTCCAGATGGCACAAAGCAGGTAGCTGAACTATCAACAATTTTGTGACTCAGAAGCAGTATTTAACACATCCCGAAACTGAGGGGTTTACAGTCATGTGACAAAGCTTTTGGTCATACCTAGTGATCTGATATCACCTGGTTTCACAACAGGAATAGTGCAAGCCGGTCACACAAGTTAACCTGCCAGATTAAAGCAGAAGTAGATTTCTCCCCAGCCTTCACCTTTCTATCTTTAGATGACCTTGGTCTGCACTGATTCATCCTCCCCACCTTTAAATTGTCTGGCAAGCATTCATTATCCATACAATTCCAGTTTTTAAATACAAGAAAAGCAATACACCAACTCTCTCAAAAGTATTAAAAGACAGGGGGTGAACTCAGAACCATTATTATTCTGGCAATATACAGTTCAAAATGTTGCTTTCAGCTACTTGCTGATGAACACCCCTAACATTATATCCTCTTGATGACACAAAAGATTGATTTGAAAATGTTACCTATGGCGGGCAGGTAGGAGAAGAAACTAGCATCTACCTATGAATGGCAAACTTATCCAGCAGAAACCCAATGACATACACAAAAAAAATGAATTTTGACCAATACTCTTCGTGAGCACTCTCCTAATGCTCATCCTATGCATCTAAGAGAAAAAGTGACTAGACAACTAACTCAAATGTAACAAAAATTGCAAACAATGTTGAAAACTATAAAACCGTAACAGTTTGTATTTACTTACTTTAACAGAATATCCCAAGGCACTTAAGAACAATATTGACAATTATCATTTTGACAGCAAGCCACAAGAGGAGCTGGGAAGGAGGAGGAGAAGAGAGATAGGGAGCAAGGGAGGCAGGCATACAAAGCACAGTTGATATTTTTGAGATCACAAGTCTATGAAGGGTGAAAGATGCAAGGCTAGGGGA